TTTTAATTTTTGTCTGAGTAGTGACCAAAAAATGAGAACCCGTTGCTAGACTGCAGGTAGGTTGAGGTTCACCTAGGAGAAGGTGGTCATGGTGGCTGTGGAAGGAAGAAAGAGGAGCAGTGTGTGAATATTGTGAGATACAACAGTCACAGCAGTGTTTCCAGTGCTTAAAGTCTGGTCCTTGACAACAGGACACTCTTAAGGTGAGGTGCAGTGCTGCTTTATCGCTCTGGAAAGCCAGTGAAAGAAAGTAGCAGGCAGGGTAGCGCCAGGCCACTCTTCAGTGATATGAGGTGTTATAGTAAGACAAAGCCTGTTTGCCAAATGAACGGTTTTTTAGTAAGATTTCTAAGCAGTCTGTCAGGGATGACTTCCTGCGGGAACCATCGAGTCCCAGATGGTGTGCTCTGAGAAGCACGGGCTGCACTTGGGCAGATTCCTTAATGCAGTACACATTCATGGGGGTCTTGTTTGCTTTGAAACCCACAGCACACACTAGGTACAGGCCTGGTTTTCTGCAGAGAACTGGCTGTAGTTGGTCTGTTACATTTCCTGGAGATGAGTTTAGAAATTTAAGTATGAATATTCTGATGCACAGGGATGTGAAAGTCTCTAACTCTTCCAGTAGCAGTAAGTGGAGCGGTTAAGTGAATTAATACTGGCTGTTAGTGTGGACTTCTGGTTCCTTTTCAGGTGTTGGATACCCTGTGCTTTGTATCCCTACCCACTTCATTCCAGACACTAAGGAAGAAGACCTGTAATGATCAGTTCCTACTGTTAAGAATGCTTTTATTTAACTTCCAACCTGATTTCTAGCCACTGCTTTTTTTTTTTTTCTTATGATGAAGTAGAGGCTAAGAACTAGATGTGCTGAAATTATATTTTCCTTTTGTGTTTCCTGAAGTTTTCTGTGTATAGCCTCATGTCAACTTCATGAGTGATTTGAGCAGATGAGGTTGTCCTGCTGTCATAAGGAGCTAGCCTGTCATTCGCTTGCATGGTGGTGAGGTTTGTGTGCCTGCATGGATTAGTTGAAACAGAATTTGGGAGCCTAATTTTTTAGTAAAGTTTGCTTGAATGTTTGGGAAAGGGCAGAACCGTCTCCTTTGGCAGCAGTAGGGTCTGGTCAGCTTTGGTGCATGTGGTGAGGTACCACCTTTGGGGCTGTGTTTGACTACCCAGTTAGGTCAGTCTGAAGATTGCTTCCTGCCTGCCTTCTATACCCTAGGAAAGATTGTTTCAAGCCATGTGAATGTGCTACTTGTAGATTCAGAAATCCCACCTTGCCCCAATAAAGGTGCTTGCCATAGGCATGAAGGAGAGAAGTGGGACTACTCTTTCTGTAGCAGTAAGATGGTAGTCAGGTCATAGAGGCTATGACAGTCACAGTACTAAAGTTCATAGTTTTGATTGTTGGTGTGGTGTGTGTTTGTTTTTGTTTTTTTTTTTTTTAACGGCATGGTATTAAAAAAAGGTGCTTTTTTCCAGATAATCAGTGTTGCTCTTAATGTAGCTCCCATTTAAAGCTTTGTGCTGAGAGCTGCAAGCTACTAGCCTGTGAATTAAAGTATGTCATTCTCTGAAAGACATGTTCCATAGAGGAATGTACAGTCTTTGACATCAGAGATGTGGCTTTGTGAAGGGCAGCTTTCGCCAGCAATTCTGTCCTTCCTTCATTCTAGGTCATCTTTAGAGTTCTATGTTATGGGCATGAGTGTGTGTGCACATGTGTGTATATGTATCTGTCTTATCCTAGTGCTTTGTTCTTTCAAGTGACAGGCTAAAGTTTGAATTTCTGAGTTACAGAAGAACGTCTTTTGGGCAAGTCTTGTTTGGGAAATGTGGTTAGATTAGTG